AAGCCCTGCCACCTGTGATGCTCTGCTCCGTGGCTTTGTGATGGAAGCATTGTTACAGTTCTGACACTGCTCTGTTCATCTTCTGCCTCCTTTCCAAAGCTGAGTGAGATGGATGACTTTATGCCTTTTGTGTTTCCCGTCATGCAGTTCTACAGTTCTCAAGATTACTTCAATAGATACTCTAACAATTTTCCTTCTCACTTCTTCAGGCGTTTTTGTTTCTCTTTATCTTGAAGGTCATGTGACATTTTTGATCTTTAAGCCCATGAAAATAATTGGCACTGGCTTTAGTGCTACACCTTAACCAGGTCAGTGAGCTCTTTGGAACTGAGTAGACAAGAAAACAACTAGCTGTCTGTCGTGGTTTGCAGGCCTGCTCCCTGGCCCAGCTCCTTTAGGGAGAGAACAGGAGGTGGCCTTGCACAGCAGGATCTGATCATCGAACCAGACGGGCTGTGCTTTCTACTTCAGCTTCTCCTCTGCCACGCTGGCTGGCTGTGAGATTGTCAGCCTGTTGTAGCAACTGGTGAGACATCGAAATGTTTGAATACTCAGCAACTACCTTTGCTGCCTGTTTGGGAGAGCTTTGAGGAAAATGCCTCAAACTGTGCATCTCCTCTCTTTGCCAGAGCTTCCTTGTTAGTGTGTGAGTTCTGTGAGTTTTGTTCTGTTTGAGGAAGGGTCTCCCTCAGCTCCACCTTGTTCCCATGGCACCTTTATATTCTATCTGATACGATACTGACTACCTTACAAAGCAGAGTCTGACCGTTGTGTCCTGTGTTCTAGGAGATCTGATTTAAACAAAACTTGTACTTGAACCGTGGCCTCATTTTCTCCTAGCTAACTCTTTTGTTTGGACACAGATTTACTTTGTTGGTAGCAGGTAGATCTGGGCTGCCCCATGGCGAGTCTGAAAGGTTCTGCTACTACACACAAGAGTTGCAGAACTGTACACGAAATCTGGCAGTTGTTTGTAAATGGTTTTGACCAGCTAATGAAGGAAGTTCTGCAAGAAATCATGATGATGAGAAGGTTTTTCCTGACTGCTATTTGCCACCTAGATCAATTCAAAGCCATTTGTAACCATCCCTCTGTTGCCTGAGATTTGATGTTCAGGATCTCTCAAAATAACCTAGATGTTACAGATGATCTTTTGAGGACAGAAAAGACCTCTTTAATGTCTGCAGCTCTTGGATACTGCATCCACAGACTTTAAAACAACTCCTCCTTATTTTGGTGAGATTTTCTCTTATTACCTGGTAGTGACCCAAATACCAGCTGTATCTTTCTGCTTTGAGATGTGCATTTCTGTGTCACTTGTTTCTTACATTCTTCTGATGGTTGAGGTGATACCATTTCTGTGGGCTGTTCTTTCACAAAGCTTGATGTGAAAAGCACGGTGTTGAACGCTCAAAGGATGGCAATTCTGTCCTCCTGTTCTGCATTCTGCCCTTGATTTCTCCAGAATTACCATTACAAATATTACCTTGAAGAATTCTATGGGTAGTTGATGTTTGTGTTGCACGAATGGACTTACTCCCTTATTCTTCCTGGTTACCTAAATCAGCTTTCTCTATCACTCCTTCCGTCAGCTTAGCAGTGGTAACTGTAAGAGGAATCAGTGCTCACTGTTTCTGCAGAAGGAAAGAAGGAGATCTCAGAAAGGTTTTGCAGAAATCAGCCATTGAGCGAGAGCCAGACAAGCTGGTGAAGAGGGAAATGATGAGGGGATGAAGTTAGGCCTTGAAATTCTGTCCTTGTCTGAGGTATCCTTCATATCTCCAGGAGCAGAATGCTTTCACCTACAGAACCCAGGGCTGCTGCTTGAAAGTAGGTGCCAGTTTCATGCAGTAAAAGGAAGCTGCAGTCATGTTCCTGAGCCTGAGTGCCTGGGGAAGCAGGTCTTAAATCAGTGTCTTCCACTTCTTCCAGTCCTCATGGAAGTGTTTGGCAGGGGAAGCAGGTACACATGCCCTTTCTGTGCAGTCCAACATGCAATGTAGAGTTAACCTGGAATAAAACAAAGTTCTGACTGAAAATTCTGGTGCCTCGAGGAGAGCATTAAATGTTTCCTCACAGAGGCTGGAATTGAAATCCAGTAATTACCCACACGTTTAGTGATGGTTGTATGCACTGAGCTGTTGAGTCAGTGTGCCACTGTGCCACTCTGCCTCCCTTTACTTTGAAATGGTGGGTTTTGACACATTTTTGCAGAACGTGGTCTGCACACTCTAATAAAATGTGCTAAATGAGCTTCTCCACTTTTTGCCAGAATAATTTCTTAGGCAAAATGGGCAGAGGGTCCAGTTTGTAGACCTGAGGGGCTCGCTGTGAACATCCAGCAATGAGCTCAGGGAGGGGGTTTGGCTGTAGAATGTTTCACAGAGGTGACTGTGAGGTGACTCCCTCCTGACATGAGATGAGAGCAAAGTAGGAGAGTTAATAAAACAAGTACCTGCGTTCCGCCTTCTTCAATTAGGGCCTAAAAACACTGCTTTCTCAGATGGAACTTTTACGACCTTTTACAGGAAGAGACAAAATCAGACTCAAAAGGGTCTAAAAGATGCTGCTTTTTGACCAGCAGCGCAGCGATGAACTGTGTAGTAAAGATTAAAGCTCCTTTCTCCCTCGCAGACGTTGTAGCTCTGGTGTTGGCCATCAGTGAGATGAGCGCAGCGACGCGTCGCGTGCGTACGACTCTGTGGTGCGCCCTGCACATGAGCCTGCCAAAGCCTGCAGCCAGACAGCTGCTCACAGCAAAGGCTCTTTGGGAGCGGGCACGGCCCGAAGAGAAGCGTACGAAAATCTGAACGGCCATGGCAGCGCGGATTGGATGGCAGAAACCAGGCGCAGAGGAAAAGGCGGCGGCGTGCGCCTGCGAGGTGATGACGTTCATTCTTTCTAATTACTTGTGACGTTCAAACTGCTGATACTCGTATTTAAAGCTGTATCTTGAGGGGAGGTTGAATTTTCATCAAGGGCTCTCGGTTTCTCCTTAAACTGCTGAAATTACAGGCAGGACCATAACATTGGGAAGCCCAACTGATGAATGCTAAGTAATCGCACTAATTAAACAACGAGCACCCAGGACGTCATTTGACGTCTGCAGGTGAGCCTTGGTGTAGAATTCTTCTGTTAAGTTTGTTTAGTTTTGTTTCAGAAAAGGGGTTTTAAAATAACGAGTCTTAAAGATTACAGTCTTTCAGACTACAGTCTACTGTGGTGTCCAGGTGGTTTCAGACAAGATTGTGACTTAAAAGTGTTTTCTTTATCAAACCAGTACCTGTAAACAGGAGGAAGAATGCTAAGAGTACTCAATATTCATGTAAAATTAAATATTTAACATATTAGTATTTATGAATTTGAGATTTTAGAATCCACGTTTGTGAAAGGAAATGCACCAGATTCTACTAAATTAAATGATGATAAAATTGCTCTTGCAATTTAGTAAATGTATTCAAATCATTTGGGCACGCCCTCAGGAAAAGAAAGAACCTGTTTTAAAGTACCTAAACAGAATCAAAATGTGACATGCACACAGTATTAACCTCTAAAAAAGCTGTACAGCAGCTGAAATAATGAGTATTGTTTTTAATGCCTTCACTTGAAAACTCTGATGGAGGGTAGGCATCACAATGTTCTGAAACTTGTGTTTTTTAAAGTTACTCTTTCACTGGTCTGGTTTGTGATTTGATTGTCCTATTTTAGACATATTAGTTTACATCTGTGTTTCTGACAGCTCTTAACACTTGGTGCTTACGTGCACATCTTATCTCAATCTCTGTACTGAGTATAAATAACTTATTCACTGATAAAAGCGTTGGTATTATGTGACTTAGGAGAGGAGGGGTTTCAGCGCTTGCAGCGTCGCGTTCAGAACGCGTGGATTAAGTTCATTCAGTTTTCCTTGCCTCGATGCACTGCTATTTGAAACAGTCTGCATTCTTCCTACTTGTGGAAATCCTGCCACGTACGAGATGGAATCACACCACATAAATTGTCATTAGGGATTATGAGAGAAACACTGAATGAGAACGCAGGAGAAAGGAACCACTTTGATCACTGGTATGGCCAGAAGTACTGCCAGCGCGAATTCACGGGGCAGGAGGACAAAGCACTTTTCATACCACAAGTCACTGCATTAAGATTTGTTAACTAGGACATGTTGGTGTTAAAAACAAATGGAATTTAGTCTGTCTGGTAAGAAATAAATTAGCTTTCGTTGCAGAGAATGTGTTCTGTTTTCCTTCGTGTCTCGGTTCCTAAAGCATTCTCCAGTAACAAGGATTGTCATTTTCATTTACCTACTGAAAGGTGAGGTACAAAGCAGGGGGTACTGATATTAATAAAGGACATGACTGCAACTTTAGACTATGGCAAAATTGAAACAGTGCAGTGAATCCAAAGTGTATCTCAGTTCAGAGCTCTGTACTGTCATACAAAGCTCATGCAATGAATTCAGTACTTGCAGTAGAAATCTTAGGAGTGTGCCTGGGGTCTCCCTGGGCCTCAATGCCAGGGCAAGGAGAGAGAAAGAACATTTGCTATCAGGCACTTCCTACCAGAGACCCACTGGTCTCCTGAAAGTTATGTGTCATCAGTGCTCAATTCTGCATCAACAGCAAGATTTATTAGCATTTGCTAACAGCTCTGTGGCTTCAAGGAGGACCTGTGACAGCGTGAGCCAGGAAGCATTAACTGTGCTGAAACAGGCTGACGGCCAGGGAAGAGCTGACCTTCACTGCTGTTGATTCATGCAGCTGTGCTCATATGCAGGACTTCACTGTGCTTTGCTTCTGGCCCCAAAGCCTGGGGCAGCAGCGCTCTGGTACGGCTCCACAGGGCCACGGGAAGAGGTGTGAATGAGAGGAACCACACCAGCTCAGCCCCCTGTAATACTGCTGCTGGGTAAGAGAAAGTGAGGGTGTGGGACGTGGCATGGAGCCTGAGGACAGACCCAGTGGCTGTCACTACCACCACAGACACAAGAGGAGCCCGGCTTCTTGGCCAGCCATCTTTATTTATAAGTCCAGAGATAAAGCAGATACTCACACTTGCAAAAATAGTTAAATAATAGGATGCGTTACCCCTAAATCAGACTGGTGCTGAAAGTAGGCAACAGGGGCAGCTACCACCAGGCCAGGAGCTGCCTCCTGCCAAAAGCCAGCCTTGCATGTGAACGCAGTGGCCAGAACATGAAGCAGCACAGGGATGAGGTGCACTGGTTCCCCTGTGCCCCTGGAAGCACCACAGGTCCTTCCTCCACACACAGAGGGGAGTTTAGGTGATGCTGCCACGAAGAAGGCTGAAAACGGCAGCTAAAGAGCCCTTGTGGGGTGAGAGAAGCCTTCACCCCCTCCTCACAGCTCCTGAGTAGGGCTGGGCCAGATGGAGCGACTGCTCATAAAGCCAGAGCATCCAAACCAGTCACAGCCTGCATTAAAGCATTTTCTCTGACAGCTGCTGTAGAAATAACAGTGGATGTTCACCCACACAGAACATCACGGAGCACCATTTTCCAGCCACCAGCATTAAGTTTCAGAACAGCACAAGGGCCTGAACGATTTGCTGCTGCTCTAGCTGACACTCCAATCACTGTGCTTTTCCCTTACCAAGACTGTGGGTGAAGTGGTCTCATAGCTGTAACTCATATATATTTCATATGATTTCCTTTCTCTTGCTGCAGAACAGCACTTGCCCTTGCTGAGGGCAGAGCCAAACCCTGCTCTTTCAGCCAGAATGAAGATTGTAGCAGAATGTAGCATTGTTCTTGGCAGCACAAATAAACGTATCTGCAAATACATTTTTCAAGGCTAGTGTAAATTCACATTCACCCCATAGCAGCAAGTCCTTAACTGCATGTCAGAGAGAGGCTTTGCTCTGTTCTCAAGTCATAACATGCTGTTGCTGCAGTCCATAGATGCAGCCCATTCAGAAGCCCTCTCCTACATCTTGCTTTAACTAGTTAGAAGTAAAACTGATCAATTTGAAACACAAATATCGTAACTTCACTGTTCTTTGGTACAACACTGGCCACAAGAATGACTGGGACATTTGACACCACAAGCACATGGCAAAACTTGAGTTTAAGAGGTGCTTGAAATTTCTTTTTTGCTACGTAAAATAAAGGAAAAGTTTCCGAAGAACCGGTCACCAGCCACGTGCCCAGAATTTCTGCTGCTTTTTAAACACACACCATATTCATAACTGATTGTATCCCCTTAAAGTCCAACTAGCAAACCCCAGCTATCGCTTCCGCTCTCCTTTTTGTGTCCTTTTCTTCTCCTTCTCCTTCCGCTCCTGCTTGGCTAACTTGTCCTTCTCTCGCTGCAGTTTGTCTTGCTCCTTCTTCTTCTGGAACTCATCTCGCAGCAGCTCCCGCTCCAGCTTTCTGGCATTCAGGACATCCTCCACGTTGGTGTTTCGGAACAGGGCTGGTAGTGAGCTAAGGGCAGACAAGGTTCTGAACACACAGCTTCCTCTTTGTAGCGCTGGTTTGGGGCCGTTCGCTGACTCTGTAGGATCAGCCACAATCCACCTACAACAGATCTCAGCTGCTCATTTTTCTCCCAACTCTGCAGGGAGAGAAATCCCTCAGCCACCAGCTCTACAAAAGGAGATGCACAAAGACAAGGAACGTTTCTGACTCCCCTCTCTGCTTTCTCACCAAGCGGGTCAACAACCTGGAAGTAACATGAGGAAGGAAAAAGAACCTCTGCTTGTGCCGTGATAAATCCTGCTTCCACCCGAAACTGCCAGCTGCAGAGTTGCAGGAATGTTCCAAATAACACCAACAAAAACACTGTTGGTGTCTTTGGCTCAGCAACCGTGCCCTCAGTGTACATACAACTAAGTGTACCACAGCGGTCTTGTTTCAATTTCACTTACAATGATTCCTGACATGATTTGCCTCTTTGGACACCGCTCAGAATTAAACTGATGTTTGGGAAAGTTATCTGTATCGGTAACATTATGTGAAGCTTCAGAGAGGACAGTAGAGGAAAGGAAGGCATAAAGGAGAGAAAAGGAAAGGATCAGTCTTAGAAAGAATGGGAATTTCGCAGCAGATGCTGCCATCCTCCCAAAAACCCCAACTCAGAGAATCAAAGGATACATTTTTCTGATCCAATGTTTAAGGCTGTTGCAGTGGAGCTGTCCTGTTCGTCGTCGCCAGTGAAAGAATTAAGGAACTGTGGGCACTGCTCGTGGACTTGTGCTCCTGTAGACTCACTTGGATCCAAACCTGTCAGATAACAATTCTACCAGGCCAGGAGCAAGAAGCTCAACACAAACACTGATGATTGAGAACCAGATAAGCGTAAAACCCAATGTTTAACTCCCTAAGCTGGGACCTCCCATGCTTTTTGCCATGGAAGCTCCCTCACAGGGAAAAAGATGGACAAGTTTCTCCAATTCCTCCAGACACTGCAAAGCCAGGAAGGCTATTTTAAACAAACATAAAAAGGATATTCCTCTTCATCTGTCACGTTGGCATACTGGGCCAGGAGGGCTGCCTTCCTCTGCTTCTCCTCCTGCGAGATCTCCTTCGGCTTCACGATGATCCTGGCCTGCTTCTCCATCATGCTGGTGATCGCCTGGACCTCATCTGCCAAAAACAGAGCATCAGTCAGCACCCCAGCAGCCAGGGCCTGCTGGCAGCTGCCACACCAGGTTTCCACATGGGTTTGCTTTTGTGCTCCATTTAAAAGCTGGAAGATACCCTTCAGGTTTTGTGTTTCAAACACTTCAGCTTTCTACCGAGAACGAACGCCCCATTCGTGTCTTCTAGAAATTACAAGTGGGTGCTGACTTGGATCACAGAACACCTCAGGTTGGAAAGGAACCTTAAAGATTCAGCTCCAGCACTGCTGCTGTGGGACTTCACCTGGGATGCATCCTCCTGTGGAGTCACATTTCTAACAGCATGGCTAGAAGGACATATTGCTCCCATCTTTCTGTGCCCAATAAGAAAAATCCCTCATTTACTGTGCAAAGCCACTGGTAGGAGCCATAGGGATCCAGCAGCATCTTCAGCAACTCCCATTCCTTGGCCACAAAAAGGGGATTATTTTTTAACACACGGAGGAGCACGTTTTCCTGTCCTCAGCCAAAGGCAAAGTCAGACCAAGGACAGACTGCTTCTATGAATTTTAAGGCAAAGACACTCAACTGCTGTGTGCTGTAACCCTGAGATTTGGTCAAGAGAAGCACAACGTAAATGCAGGGTCCACGATAAGGACAACTATTTCCAGCACATTGGGCAGCGACGGCGTTCTGTGTGCACCAGAACCAACAAAAAAATGCAAAGCAAAAAATAAGGGCTGTAGCCAAACGGGACGCTGCATGGTGACAACGCAGCCCTGAAGATCACTGAGCCATGCGCTGCCTTAAACCTGCACAGCTCTCAGTATGGGATTTCGTTGTGCTCCAGAGGGAAAAAAAACAACAAAAGCTTATTTCCTCTGCAGGATTATGAGCCCAGAGAGCAGCAGAATGCTAGCAGCAGCCCTAAGTGAAACTACTCTGCTTTGTTTGTATTTCAAGACAAAACAGAACATAAGCCACAGCAATGAGAAGCAAGTCAGCTCTGCAAACAACGAGCAGCACCGAGTTTAACTCCTAACAGAGCAAACACACAGCTCTCATCTTGCCGAGCCCTGCACAGCACTCATAGCACACGGAAAGGCACAGTGAGCAGCAACACTACCTTCTTTTTTCTCTTTGGCGTCAACAATCTGAGATTCAGACCACTTCTGGACTACTTCCCTGCAAACATCGTTTAAGAGATCTTCTTCCTAGTGGGGGAAAAGAGACTTCTCAGTCTTGGAACAGAGTTGGTCTGCTATAAATGAGCACAAATCAGGTATAAGTACCAGCTGCAAAGGATCAGAACACCCACCAGCAGGCTCAGCTTCCACACGAAATCTACCACGACAGGCACAGAGGGACTTTTGTTAACCTGGGAGCACAATGCACGCCACAAGATGCACCTACGGTTGGCTCAGCTCAGGGCTGGAGGCAGACCTGGCTGCTGCACAAACAGCACAGCCTCCCTGCTCTCCTTTGGCAGCAGCACTATGCTCAGGGGTCAAATGAGGCAGCAAAGCAGTGTTAACCCAACCAGACCTGTTCTACAGCCCATCTATGCCAAATGTGAGCTCTGAAGACTGCAGGTTGCTCCATACCCGCTGCCCAGAAGAGAATTTCCTATCAGGGTTTGCCACAGGCAGGCCTCAGCTGTCTTTCTCCATCTTACCCTGCCTGGCATGCAATTGGCATCTCAAAGACAGCACACCAAACCCCTGCACAGAGCTCCCAGCAAACCTCCCACAGCTAAGCACAGAATAACAGTGAGGTGACAGGAGAACCCAGACAGTGATACCACCACACAAAGTGCCAAGAGACCACGAGCAGAGCACAGGGAAGGGGGCCCCTGGGTGAGGCTGGAGGCACTATTAGGATGGACGTGCAGGATGTTCCAGACTGTGGCACAGAAAGTGATGTGCAAAACAGCAGAAGGATGAAGGGTTTGTGGCTCCCATCAGTGCCACACACCACGTCAAGGTGACCACTTGCTTTAAAGTGGAGTAAACCCAGAGGGCAGGATGATGCTTAACCTGCTAAGATCAAGCATGCAAGCATGGACTCGATGGTGTCCAGAGGTCTCTCTCAGCCCCTACAATTCATGGATCACTGGGTGGATGGGCTGCCCTGAGCTCTGGAAACCTGAGCACAATGGAATCAGGGCTGGAAAGTGGTCAGCAGCTTTAAGTTCAGCCAGGAAAGAAGGCTGGGAAGGATGCTCCCTACATGGCTGGTTTCAGTATCCAGGAGGAAGAAAATTGGGTAAAGAATGACAAAGGAACAGTGGTAAGCAGGAAGGAAAATGAACTGCAAAAAGACTGAAGATGATGGCAAACACCTGTAGGTGCTAATGAGGATTTGAGCAGTAAGAAAGAAATCATTTGTGTACCTGAAACATGATAAAGGAACAATAACTCAGCCTTGGCACTATGGGGACTTCATACTCTGAAAGGAATAAAGACCAAGATGACAGCGTGCAAATGGACCTGAATGAATCAATGGAAAAGAAACAGACAATGCAAAAGTCGACACAGAAGGAAAGAAAGAGAGGTCAGACCACAGCACATTCACTAAATAACCCTCCTAGCTCAGCCCACTCAGGACAAGGACCTCTCACAGCCTATGGGAGATGCGCAGAGCCAAAGAACAGATGCTCCTAACACTGATGTAGACAAGGTTGCTGTTGGATACAACAATTTTCACCTAATATGCTCTAAAGGAACAAGGAATTTTGTCATTTTAGAGGTTAGTAGACACAAGAAAAGTAACTGGAAAATACACAAGAGCAAAGTGACCCAGAGTGTGAGATGAAGAGCAGAACACAAACAGAACTTGACTTGAAATGGGTGAGTTTGAATAAAGTCAGGCTGCATGAAATTTCTTTTAGTGAAGATGGCAAAGGCAAACAAAAAGAAAGCCTGGAATTTGTACACAGATCAAAGAGAAAAGACTCAGAAAGAAGAGCTCCAAGTTAACCAAATGAAAACTGCTTCAAAGTCAGTGCAGAAATCAGCAGCATCTACAAAAACAGTAAAAGTGCACGGAATAAAAGAACGTCAGAGAGTTCAAGAGGCAAAAAGAACATTTTAGAGAAATAGTAGATAATCAAACTGAGTTAGAACTTGTGAGTGAAGCATAAACCAGCTGCAAGAGTCAGCCCTGTCAGGAGAGAACAGACTGAAGACACAGGAGTGCCATGAACACGCACTGCATGAAAAGCAGTGCATATGAAACTGCTGGCAGCACAGATGGCACCTCAGCACTAAAGGGAAAAGAGGAGAGATCAGAACGTAACACAGCCAACAGCAGAGCCAAGGTTTGGTGCTTGCTCCTCCTATTAGTCCCAGCACAGGGCTACACTGACAGTGCTGTGCTTCTTTTAGAAACAACAGCACTGCTGGAGCTGCAGGGTGGGGAAGTGATGGAAGGTAGTGACCAGGTGCTCTGTATTTTAGGAAGAATGGTTTTTAAATGGCGAGCAGTCATTTAACAGAAGGAACTGTAGTTATAAGAACAAAAATCTGATTGGGTTTTATGCTCCTGCATTTGGGAGAAAACCAGTGGCAGCAGCTGAGCAGACTGCTGATGAACACTGGCACACATTAACTACTCAGCACTTCATACCTGTGAATATTAATTCAGAACGAAAGAATCAGAAAGGTTGGAAAAGACCTCTCAGATCCCCCGGCCCAACGCATCCCACCCCCCTGACCACATCCCTTAGTGCCACTTCTCCACAGTAACTTGTACCATCCAGGGATGCTGACTTCCCCACCCCCTGGGCAGCCCGTGCCAATGTACCACTGCTCTTTCTGAGAATAATTTTTCCAAATATCCAGTCCTCCCCTGGCACAACTTGAGGCCATCAGCTCTCGTCCTATTGCTGTTCGCAGTAGGCTGCACAGGACTGAGTCCAGACACATCCTCAATATCTCCAGGGGAAAGAGACTCCAAAACCTCACAGTCCCAAAGCTCCTTTACTCTCTGACTAGAGAATCTTTTCTTTGTGTTAGTGTGGAAAGTCTCGTATTCCAGTTTCTGTCTGTTGCTCCTTGCTGCACATCACCAAAAAGAGTCTGCCCCCATCAGTCTGACTCCCTGACCCTTGAGATATATATAAGGAGTGGTGAGATCCCCTCTCAGCCTTCTCCTTTCCAGACTGCAAGGCCTCTCAGCCTTTCCTCACACAGGAGATGCTCCAGACCCTTAATCACCTTTGTGACCCTCCACGGGACTTTTCTAGAAGATCCTGGTGAATCCTGAACCGAGGAACCTCATCACGTTCCTCTCTGTGCAACTCTCAGCCTGTGCAGGTTTTGTTATATGGCAGCACAGCCTTCCAGCATGTCAGCCACTGCTCCCAGCTCTGCACCATCACCAAACTAGCTGAGGATGGATTCTATCCCTTCATCCACAGTGCTGATGAAGACGTTGCACAAAACCGGGCCCAGCACCGACCCGTGGGGAGCACAGCTCACACCGGCCTCCAAGCAGACAGTGTACCGTTGATCTCAGCACTCTGAGCTCTGCTGGTCAGTCCTTTCTCAGCCACCCTAAGCCCCGTTACAAGGACGCTGTAGCCGATAAGAGCCCCACGCCCTGCTGACCTAAAGGTGCACAGCATCCACCGCTCTCCCCCCATCTACCCCACGTTCGCGACACCTTCGTGAGTTACCGCTTTGCTCCAGCACGATTTCCCCATGGCGAACCTCCTTCGGACGCTCCATAATTGCTTTATACCCTCCCGCTACGGCCCCGTCCCACACAACGCGGAGAACGCGGCCCAGCCCCTCACCAGGCAGGCCGCCAGCACCCCGCGCAACGCCTCCAGCCGCTCCTCCTCGCTCTCCTCCTCCCGCAGCAGCCCCGCAATATACGCCCCGTACACCGCGCGGTCCAACCCCAGCGCCTCGAGCCGGGCCGCCAGCCAGGCCCCGAAAGCACCCGGCCCCGCCGCTTCCACGCAGGGCGCCGCCATCTTACAGCGCTTCCACCCCTTCCGGTGGCGCACGAGCACAGAGCAACTTCCGGTGATGTGCACGGAAGCAACTTCCGGTAGCGCATGGGCAAAAAGCCAAGCTACGGCGGCCGGGGAGGGTGACAATTGTGGCGGGACGCGCGGCCCTCACGGCCACCGTAGCGACCGCCGTTAGCAGCGGGGCGGGGGGAAATTTAAACGGCGGCGGAGCGCTACAGGCGGCTTCTCTCCGGTATGGCGGTTCCTGCCGGGCCTCTCCGCGGGAGGACCTTCTTCCTGGATGTGCCCAGCGGGTGGGCGGCGAGGGAGCTGGCGGAGGTCATCCGGCATCTGGGCGGGGTGAGTCGGCCTCGGCCGCACGCTGCGGTGCGGCTGGGGGTCCTGAGGGGCGGCGCTGGGAGGTTCCCGCCTGTGGTCGTAGGAGGCTTTAGGGGTGTGAAGGGATGGGGCAGGCACGGGGCGCTGGTCACCGCCTGGAGCGTTGGGAAGGGGCAGGTTGGGCACTGGGAGCAGTTTGTGGTTGGAAGTGGTGGTGGTGCAGGGGCTTGGGCTGCGCGGGGGGGTCGCTGAGGACTTGGGTAAACACAGACTGCGGGTGTCACCTCTGTGCCTGGGAAGCCACGGAACAGATCCTACATGAAGGCACATCGAGGTGTTTGTGGGGTGCAGAGGTGATCTGAGGCAGCCAGCACAGAATCACCAAAGGCAGAGCGTGCCTGATGTGTCTGCAGCCCTCACTGATGGAGCGCCAGCATCAGCAGACAAAGGGCAACTGATGTCACCTGCCTGGGCTTGTGCAAGGCCTCTGGCACAGCCCCACACCGCATCTTTATCCTTCAGTTGGAGAGAGATGGGTTCAAAGGCTGCACTGTTCAGTGGATAAAGAGTCGGTGGGACGGTCGCAGCCACGGGGCTGTGATCAATGGCTTTGTCCAAGTGGAGGCGGTGAGCGGTGCCCTCCAGGGCTCCGTCTGCAACCAGTGCTCTTCAACAGAGGCAAAGACAATGGCATCGAGTGTGCCCTCAGCAGTTTGCAGACCGAGCTGAGTGGTGCAGCTGACAGCACCAGCCAGACCAGGACAGGACTGAAACTGTGCACAGGAGAAACCCACGAGATTCAACAGGGCCGAGCGCAGGGTATTGGACTGGGGCAATCCCAGGTAAGAGCACAGACTGGGAGAAGAGCCTGAGAGCTGCTCTGCAGAGAAACACTTGGAGACTCTGGTGGATGAAAAGCTGCACCTGAGCCAGCAGCACGTGCCTGCAGCCTGGAAGCTGATGCAGTTCTGGGCTGCATCAGCAGAGGGGCGGCAGCAGAGAGGGGAGGTGACTGCCCCCTCTGCTCTTGTGAGGCTCTGGACTGGAGCATCTCTACTATGAAGAGAAGCTGAGGGAGTTGGACTTGTTTCTTGTGGGAAAAAGAAGGCTCTGGGGTGACCTCATTGCGGCCTTCCAGTACTTGAATGGCACTGACATTTACAGAGTCTGATAGAGATAATATGAGGGGGTGGCTTTAAACTGGAAGATGGGAGACCTAAGTAAGATCTTAGGAAGAAACTTTCTGCTCAGTGGGTGGTGAGGTGCTGCTGCAGGCTGCCTAGGGAAGCCATGGGAGCGCCATCTCTGGGGAGATTCATGGCCAGGCTGGGCGGGCCTTGGGAGCAACACTGCTCATGACAAGAGGCTGTATCTTATGATCTTAGACCCTTCCAACCTAAGCTGTTCACTGGGGACATGGGTTAGGAGACGTGGTAGAGATGGGTTGAGGTTGGACTTGGTGATCTTAGTGCTCTTTTCCAACTTCAGTGAATCTATGATTTATGGAGCTGGTGACTGAGCCCTTCCACAGGGAGCAGGGAGGTTTTGGGGTTCTTCCATGGAGGTCTCCAGACCCACCTGGATGTGGCCCTGCCTGGTACAAGAGGGACCCCGAGGTGCCCACAGCCGTGCTGTGGTTGAGCTGTTGCTGTCTGTTTTCTGCTGTTTCCTCCATGGCACAGGTCTTTTTATGGGCACCAAAGCATCCATTCTAAGTCCATCACAGCTTCATAGAATTGTTTGAGTTGGAAAGGATCCTTGAAGGCCACCTGTCCCACTGCCTGCAGGGACACCCACAGCTTTGTCAGTGTTCACAGCCCCATCCAGCCTGGGCACCTCCAGAGCATCCATCACCTCTCTGGGCAATCTGTGCCAGAGCCTCACCACCCTCGCTGTGAAATAACTTCTTCCTTATATCCTCCTTGTAAACAGCCTCTTCCTTATATTCAATCCAAATCTCCCTCTTTGAATTGGAAACCGTTCCCCCTTGTCCTGCAGATGCAGGTGTAAGATCTTTGCATTGCTCTCACATTTTCATTCTGCAGACCTTGCCCTAGGATTTTGCTTTGGCTGTCTAGGTGCTTAGCTGGGCTGACTTGCACTTTTTCCCTCTTCTTCAACCATACATTCATGCTTAACTTGGTTTCCTTCTATTATTGCCTGGACGTGCTGCCAACCCTCTGAGGAATGCTCTCCAAGTCTCTTTTCACTTTGTGTCTTCCAGTCTGAGAAAGACTCCCAGTGGTTGCTTATTTCTCTGGGCAGCTACCGCAGTAGTTGGAAATAACTTTATCCTTTGACTGTCCCTCTGGCTTCTGATCAGACGTCTCCTCGTGTCACTTCCCCCTGAACTGCAGTCTGCTTGTAGCAGAGTTCTCATTCCTTCCCCTTCATGGAGATGCTGTGTTTGGGTGCAGCACTTGTCAGCGGTCGCAGCCCAAACCTCTGCGCTGGGAGACTTTGAGGCACTCTATTCCTGCAGCCTCCTTTGTATCCTGCAGCAGAAGTCACTGCTGTAGGGCAGTGAGCAATGCCACCGTGGCACTGCATTCTGTGGGGCAGCAGGATGGCCTTGTTTAGCAGCTGTGACTTCAGACTGCACAGATTTCTATCCTCCTGCGTACTTCATACCCTACATCTCTGCTTCCACTGAGCTTCTGCTGAGCCTGTTGTTAGTGCCCTAAATCAGGCTTTTTGGTTTCTAGCCTCTTTCTTCATCTTCTGCCTTGTGTGCAAAGGTCTGCATGTGTTGCTGGAGTATTTCTGAGCTGCTCTGCTCTGTCTTTTGCTACAGGAGACTGAGAGCTTCCTAAGCAAAGAAGTCAGCTACGTGGTGTCCAGCAAAAAGGAAGCCAAGCGAAGCAGAGCCAGGGCTCGGGCTGAGAAGAGGAGCAGTGTGACCTCAGAGGGTGCAAAAGCCCAGAGCTCAACACCTTCCTCCTCCAAAGAGAACCACACCAGACCTCAGCAGAAGCCACCAGACACTGTAAGAGCTATTTAGATTAAGGCCAGCCCGAGGGATTTATAGAGTGCAGCCGGTGTTGGAAGGTGTCTGTTGCTGCTCTGAGCAACTCTGTTCTTTTTTTTTTTTTCTCCATTCTCATTTGTACCAATGTTCCTGGTGTCTGTGCTTCTTTTCTCCCTCTAATGTGCATGTCACAGCTTTGAGCTAGCAGCAAAGGATATCTGCTCAAATGGAAGAGAAAATTGAGGGCTTTGCTGGCTTCCCAGCAGAACAGGCAGTCCATCCCAATGCGGGAGTATGTCTAGGAAAAAACAACAACAACACAACAGGAATGTAAGCAAAACAAATCTGCTTCAGAACCATTGCAGGCTGCAGTTGTGTGCTGACAGGCACAGGTGCAGGGCACAGCAGCTGGCTCCGCAGGAAGGACTAGCAAGGACACTTCAACCCCTGCCAGCCTCTTGGCACGCGGGGCTGCAGAGCTAAGTTGCTGCTTCCTCTTGGCTCGCTCTGAAGCTGTTCAATAAAAGCCAAGCCTTGGCTGACTGGCTGCCTACTGTGGATGTGAAGGGTGTCTGTGGTTTGTGTTCCCTGGAAATGTGAGTCCTGCTGTCTTTGAGATGGAGTCTTGGCCGGATTCCTCAGCAGAGCAAGCATCTCTAGAAATCATTGTTGCTGGGCAGCCTTGTTGTCCTCAGCTTGCTGCTGCCCGGGAGCTGATGCTGGAATATAATGCTCGGCTGCTTTCTCTGCAGGCCCTGATCAGCAGGGGAAGGGAGCTGCTGCAGAAGGCCATGAAGAATCAGGTGAGCAGCACGTGGCCTGGCTTTCCTTGAGCCGAGTTCAGAGGACTGCTGATCAGTGCAGAGCCAGTGCCAGGTGCTCTCAGAGCCCCTCCTGCTGAGGGGAGCAGACTGGGCTGCTAAAGGTACAAATCTGTCCAACCATTCTGTGGAGTTGGTGGCTCTGCAGAGTGCTGTGCAGTGCTTCTTCTCAGAGCCGTGCCATCCTGCCCTGTTCAGCTGCTCCTGAGGTCTGTCCCAGCGATCAGGTTGCAGCACACAAGAGAACTGTTAACACAGGATCATAATGATGTGAGATTTCAGAACTGAAGCCACGTTGCAGGAGCACTGCAGTCGCTCAGTGACCGCTTAGGAAGTTCACACAGCAGTAAGAGTTAAAAATCCGAGCTGCATTCTCCTGTTGGCTTGTAGGTAGAGATGAGTTTGAGCCTTCTATGCCCTGAAGCTCACACAATAGTAACTCCTATGCTTTGGCCTGTCAGTTGGGCAACAGGGAAACCCCACTGAACCGGGTTTGTTGCTGCCAAACCTCTCTGTTTTCACAGGACACCTGCAGTGGCAGCAGCATCCTCGCCAACGCTCGCTTGTGGGGAGTCCAGATTGTGCATGTGGATGGTATCCTTCTCTGTTATGCTGCAATTCAGGGAATCAGTGAATTTATTTTTATTTTTATTATTATTATTATTATTATTTTAGAGAGAGGCTGTGCAGAAAGGGTACAGTGAGTGGGATGGAAGACAAGAGGAATTATGAGGAATGTGTGGTATTTAGTGATGCTTTGCATGCAGAGGACGTGCTACTGTCACGTTCACCACAGCAAATGCAGACTATGGTGTAAAGAACTGAATATTGGAAGTGTTCATGGCTCAGTCAGTCCTGAATTCACCATTTTTACGCCCTGGAAATGCAGCTGGTGATGCAGGCGGGACTTGGTTAATGAGGAGGGGCTGCTGGTTGAGGACCTGTGCTGGAAGGTGCTTCCTGCCTCGGTGATGGATGGGAGGGGGGTGATGGGACAGAGAGACGATGAAACTGCTTCTAATAATAGGTCTGGAGTAAAAGGTTCCTGAGTGTGCCGTGACAGTGACGTACTGCTGTGGCTGCATTTGTCTGGCTGTGCGGCAGAGGCTGCAAGCACCCAGCCCTGAGCTGCCAGCCCTGAGCTGCAGCACTGCTGCAAATCTGTCAGAGTTTTGCAGTGTCCACATGCTGAACAATTCCTGGTAGCGCCCACTGCTGCAGAGGCTTAAAGCCAAGGGATGGGATGGGATGGGATGGGATGGGATGGGATGGGATGCCTTCCTCGGAGCACCAACTCTTCCTTGGCTCGCTCTTGGGTGCATCAGCTGTGTAGTGGTGATGCTGTGCCTTGCTGAGCTCCTTGACAGCCCACCCCCACAGAAATGTTGTCGTATGCTCAGCAGCTGCTGCGTGCTGCCTCGGGAGCACGGAAGCAGAGGACAGAGGTGAGTGACCTAAATTCAGCCCAGCTAGAGGCGCTCAGGACCCCTCAGTGGCTCTGAGAAATCCATCCCTCTCATCTAATGGTAATCATCAATCTAATGGTCAGCGTGAAGGTAGGGCAGATGATGAGAGCAGCAACTTGGGTGTCATATTGAAGCACCCCTAGGTAACTTGACAGCCAAAATATTGGAGTGGGTGAGGGTGGAAGGGGTGCAGTTTGCAGTGCAGAGGGGTGGAGTGGTGGGTGAGTGCTGTAATCTCACTGGGATCAGAAATCGCCACTGCCTCCCATACTGAGTGTGGCATTCTCTCCTGCAGGCACAGAGCCCCGTGTCTGGACAAAGAGCTCACAAAGGTAGGCCTGGAAGTTGTTTCCCTGCACATTCACACTCAAAGAAACCTCAGAATTTGAATATCTGCCTGAAACTTTGGCAAACAAAAACATGGTGACTGACCGAGGCGGTTTTTGCAGCTCCTTGTCTGTGAGCAGCTGAGGGCGTTATGCCTTCGAATGCAGGCAGTGTTCTTAAAACCCCACAAACAGTTTGCAGCTTTACTCCCAGCATCCCAAGGCACTTAGCAGCTGTGCTGCTGGCTCTGCTCAACCCGCTGGCTCCAGCAAAGTTCTGAGGTATAATGCATCCTCCAGCAGGGAGCAGTTCCCCACAACACACTCATTTCTGCTAGGCTGAAATAAGCATCTGAGGCACCAGGCAGGGAGGGGGCTGGGAAGCCCAGGTTCTCATCTGCAATTAGGCAGGAGTGAGGTGTGGTGCTGGGACTGCACTGGTGATGCAGGCCTGTTTGTGACTCCTTAATTCAGCTCTTTGGAGAGCATCGCAGAACAGAATCCAACCTCAGTATGATTCTCCAGTCTTGGTGGAAAGGTGGCGTGGGGGGGAAGGTACAAGAAGTTGTCAGGTAAGGCAGATTGCAGGCTGCAAGCTCAGAGCTCGTGGTCATGGCACACTGTGTGCTCTTCTCGGGGATGTGTGGTGGCAGCTGTCACTGCTCAGCCCTCTGCCACCAGCACTTAAGCAGAAGCATTGATCCTGGCTGCCTCTGACGTAGGGCTGCATCTGATGCAAGCTCAGGGCTGAGACTCGAGGAATGCACTGCTGAGGAGAGGTGGGTTCAGCATTCTGGAAGAATGAGGCTGGAGCTTCCTTGCAGGAAATACGACTGAGCTGCAAGGGAGCCAAATTCCCCCTTCAGAGGCAGTAAGGGAGGCCTGAGGGAGTTGGTCTGAGGGTCAGGCAGGTGCCAGCAGGAGCACCTTGGAGTTTGTTTCTTAAGCAGCTCTCAACCTGGATTTTCAGGCGTGGGACTCACAGGTGTGAGCAGTAGTGATGAGTTTGGCTCTACAGCCCAGCTCTGTTGGGGAATGAATGAATGGCAGGGAAGGTCAGGCTGGAGGGGCTCTGAGCTCCTGGTGGGGCTGTGGGTGGCCCTGTGGGGTCCATAGCTGGACCTTCAAGGGTTCTTCCAGCTCAAACCATTCCATGGTTCTGTGAATTTGGCGGAGGGTCACTCCTAACCCAGCTGTCTTTCCAGCAGGAAAACTGAAGCCCCCTTTTTTGAAGGTTGAGGACCAGAGCAGGTAAGTGGGACCTCTCCAAACATCACAGCCAAACTACGTTAGAACTCCTAGGGGAGGGAACCCTTCGCTGTTTCTCCTCACTTCTGGGATGGTGGATATTCTGTCCCCGGGGCAGAGTGTGGCTTCCTTGAAGGAAGGTGATGCTCTCCATGGCATTTCCCAAGAGAGAGCAAATAGGGTTTAGAGAAATAATCTTTATGGTTTGTGTGTCACTGGGGAAAAAGGTGCTCGGTGGGACCTGGCAGCAGTTACTTCCTTGCTCAGATTCCACACGTGATCCTCACAGGTCACCTAATCTGCTTGAGCCCTCTGAAATAGGGAAAGAGATTAAAGCACAGGAGGTCAGAGCTTGTAACTTGATTACAGCACCTGGCCTGGGGGGATTGGAACTCTGCGGTGTTTCTAACAGTGCTCAGAGCACTAATTAATTGCTCTGAGGACAACATTTAAGGTGACTGCAGGGTCAAATAGTGTATCAAATACCCCTCTGAGGGAGGGACAGCTCTGCTCGTGCCACCATTGCTTTCTGATCCGCTTCTTCAGGCAATTCCGGCCCTTCCACCACCAGTTTAAGAGCTTTCCTGGCCTCAACCTCCTGGCACCCAAGGGCTGCAGCCCCTTCGAGCCTCCGAAGAACCTCCCCAATTCCTGCGGGGCCAGGTAGGTTGCAGCCACTTCAGTGCAAGCTTTTAATCCTGATGGCTGGCGATGCTTACAGAGGCAGCTGTGGGCTGAGAGGAGACCTGCTCTGGGCTCAATATCTGTAGCTCAAAGGAAGTGCTGTGTCCTTGCATCCAGATGTGGCAGCTGGGTGCTTGCTGGAGGGCAGGGAAGAGCTTTGCTGTCACCTTACAGGGCCGTGGAGGGCTGCACAGAGCACAGCAAGGGGGAGAAGAGCCCCCAGTCCACAGCAGTGCCAAAAAAGAAAAGGGGATTTTGTGAGTGCTGCCAGGAGACGTTCGAAGAGCTGCAGAAGGTAAAGGCAAAGCCACATCCTGGGTCATCCCAGCAGTTGTGGGGACTGCACAGTGCAGTGGGTGATGTGATGTGACCGATGTTGGTAAATCCCTTTGGAAGCAGAGCGGGTTCACCTGGCCTTGATGTGGTCGGATCTGCCCTGCAGGCAGAAGCCATAGAGCTGCTCAGATTTCCTGGTTTGGGCCAGAAGTGGTTTTGGAGATCATGAGATGCTCATCTGTGGGTCTTGGAGAGCCTCCAAGATGTAACCCTCCACTTGGTGTGTAAGGTGAGCTGTTCCGTAGCAGCTGGGGGACATTGGCTGATCAAAGAGATAAGAGCAGGGTTTTATCTCCTCTGGAACACCAGCGTGGCTTCCAGAGCCCAACCTTCAGTGATAGACAGCAGGTATTTGGGATCTGCATTATACTAACTGCTGGGAAAGCTGTGGGCTGCTGTTAGATACAGGCACAGCCCCTCATTATCAGGTGTCTATGGGAACAGAACACTGTAAGCAGCCAGGGGTGACAGCATTGCCTACGTTTCCTAAACCTGTTTCTAAGCAGTGGGGCTGCCTGGTGAGGGCTGTGTGCCATGTGGGGCCCTACAGGCTGTGGGCACTGTTTGGTCCTGCACTTGTGAAAGGATGAGCGTTGCCAAAGGGCCTTTTCCTCCTTGCAGCACCTGCAGAGCCCGCAGCACAGATGCTTTGCCCTGGATGACTCCCGTTACGCCTTGGTGGATCACGTCATCGCGCAGCTCGCCAGCAGCATCACAGGGCAGCTGCCCAGGTACATGGTGTGTCTGTCATCGTGCACTGAGCCCCACCGGTCTGAAATTACCCAAGGAAGGGCTCCTGGCCTCCTGCAGTGCAGGAAAAAAGCTTCATCTTGCTGTGGGAGGGTGCTGCTGGGCCTTGAGGTGGATCATTAATGGATGGTTCTTTTCAGGGTGCCGCTGCCCTGCCTGACAGATGAACACTTAATGCCTCGAGCTCAATGTGCTGCAGGAGCTGAGGTGCTGACAGCGGTGCTGGGGGAGGAGAGGCAGCAGCGTGAGCAGGCTGTGGGGCTGCTGAGTGCTGATCCCAGCACCAAGGGGTGCTCCTCCGTCGGTGATCCCACAGAAACAGAGGGACTGAGTGGAAGCCGCCCTTCTGGACTGTCTGCTGAATTCAGGTCAGCAACCGCTGCTCCGTCTGAACCCCACAGACTTCTGCACGCCCCTCCTGCCTGCAGGAAGCGCCCGCTGGGCCCTGCTCAGCCCGCCCCCCTGGGGAAGAAGCCTCGAGTGGAGCTGAGGGCCGACCCCACTGGGTGCCCTGTGTTCCTGCAAACCCCTCAGCACAACAGCACAACGGCTCCCCTTGACTTTGAGATGAGTTCTGAGCCAGGCTGCGTTGTCCCACTGCTCTCCACGCTGCCCCAGGACGGCAGGATCTGCTCTGTGGGCAGGGATCTGCTCCAAAGGGGGGACGCCCGCGTGCGGGGCAGTGGGTGCGACTCGCAGCTCTGCCTGGTGCTGCAGCGGAACTCGGAGTCGGACAGGAGCTGCAGAAACTGCTGTGCAGGGAGCAGAGCTGCCTTTCCCCCAATTTCAGACCTTTTATGGCAGCTGGACTGATTCTAACCACTTCTGGGCCCTCAGTGGGAGCTGGGCAGCGCCCCACACCTCCTGGGGGCAACACATCTTCATCCAGCGCCTGCTGCCCTGGCCTCTGGCAGGGGGGGGGAGTGATACGGGATGCAATCTTCTGCCCCAGCCCTTGGGAGAGGGACACAAAGCGGTGTGCTGAGCTCACTCCATCACCCCACAGCAGCAGGAGGGCAGCAGTGCATCCTCCTCCCAGCCATCGGGGTCTGCAGTGCCTCTCTCCCGTTGGGCTCCATGGGGTGGGCTGTGACCTCAGCATCCTCAGCATCTTGCCCCTGGGATATGGCTGTGGTTGGGCTGGTTGTGCTTACAGATGTTTTTAACTGCTGCTAAGCTGATTTTGTTTCTAGTGAACTTCTAATAAAATGAAAGAATATAGAGAGTGGCGTGCGGGGTGGGCTGTGTCCAACCCTGAAGGGCGTGAATTCGGGGTGGGTTGGGGGGGGAGCAGAGGAGCTGCAGGGGATTGCAGTGCTCTGCTCTGTGGGGCTGCACGGCTGCCCTCGATCCTGTGTTTGTCGGGCCTGGGGTGGGGGGGTGTCACTCAGGTATATGGGGCTGGGGGCACTGACCCACACCGAATTTCACTGTGGGTTTACGTTTGGATTTCATCGCACGGGCTCAGGACCCCCGTCTCCATCTCCTCTTCGTCCCGTGGGGCCCCGCACCGCTGCGGGATCAACGGGAATCCATCATTTACCCCCAAATCACCCCCGAAATGGTGCTTTTCCCCGCAGCATCCCCTAAAAGTGGGGCACCCCATTACCGCCGGGGGCGGCTCCGCTGCACCGCCGCATCCGCAGCCGCCGGGGGAGGGGAGAGGAGGGGGGGGGGGGGGAGGGGCGGTGCTGCGGACGGGGACGGTGCGGTGCAGCGCTGTGCGGGTGGTGGGGGCGGCCCCTCCGCACCGCTCCGCTCCGCACCGCTCCATCCCCGGCCCCGGGGGGCGGAGGGGCGGATGATGCGGGAGCGATGAGCGCGCTGCGGGGCTGGGGGTGGCTGCTGGCCGCGCTGCTGTCGCTGACCCCGAGAGCAGGTAGGTCCCCCCCGGTCCCCTCCCGATCCCCTCCGGTCCATCCCGGTCTCCTCCGGAACCCCCCCGGACACCCCGGCCCCACCGCTGCGGTGTTTGGATGCGGCGGTACCGCACCGCGCCGCCCCCGTCTGTGTTCCCCGGGTGTCCCCTGGGCGTCCCCTGGCACGCAGAAGCCACGATGCTGTGCCCCCACCCCGGGACGCGGCCCCATCGCAGCCCCTCCGCGTCCCCACGGCCTCGGGACCCCCACAGGACCCATCCTCACCAGGGCCCCTCCGTGTCCCCGGAGCCCAGGTGTCCCTTTCATGCTGCAGCATGGCCTTGGGTCCCCCAGGATATGTCCTCATCACAGACCCTCTGTGTTCCCATCACCTCGGGACCCCCAGGACGTGTCCACATTTCAGCCTTTCCATGTCCTCCAGGTCCCCAGGTGTCCCCTTTGTATGTGTGTAGCAGGCCTTAGGTCCCCACCACAGCCCCTCTGTGTACCCTGGGTCCCCAGGTGTCCCTTTGGGACTGCAGATCCCCATCGCAGTGCCCCAGGTTCCCATGACCTCGGCTCCCTTCCAGGACGTTGTGTCCCCTCCACGTCCCCCAGATCCCCAGGTTCCTGTGGCTTTGGATCCTCATAGAACACGTCCCCATCGCAGCCCCTCCATCTCCCCAGGTGTTCCTTGGCATGCAGCTTGGCCTTGGGTCCCACAGGATATGTCCCTATTGCAGCCCCCTCATGCTTCCCCGGTCCCTATGGCATCAGGTCTACCCAGGACATGTCCCCATCACAGCCCCTCTGTGTCCCCCAGGTGTCCCTTCAGGGACAGAGCATGGCCTTGAGTCCTCCCAGAAACATCCCCATTGAAGCCATTCTCTGTCCCCATGGCCTCAGGTCCCCCCCTAGAGCATGCCCCCATTGAATCCCCACCATGTCTACAGGTCCCACGACCCCAGGTCCCCCCAGATGCATCCCTGGTGCTGCCTCTCCACGTCTCCTTGGTCCCCCCAGGATGTATCCCCATCACGGTCCCTCCCCGTCCATCAGGGCCCTATGGCCTTAACCACGGGGCACCCAACACTTGTCTGTTAAGGACACCCAATCGTTAACCAGGGGCGCTCAGCCCATATCTATGTGGAACCCAACCCCTGTCCATGGGGCACCCAGCTCTTGACCATGGAGGACCCAACTGCTGACCCACGGGTCCCACCACCAACCACCACTCCCGGCCCGCAGGCCCCGCAGGTGCCACCCCACAGACCAGCACCCCGCAGCCCGGCTGGCTGGAGGGACAGGCACTGGCCGAGGTCACCCACCCCAGCAGGTTGGTGGGACGCAGCGCAGGTGGAGAGGTCCTGAAGCATCAGCTGGACACCAGGGTCCGGAATGAGTCTGGAGCGGGAGGCGGCCCCGTAAGTGCACCGCGTTCCCATCACCCTAATGGGTTCCCATTAAAGCTCAGCTCTGGAGGTGCACGTGTGAGTACACGGCTCATGAATAATGAATGGCCCTCACTCGGCGCTGGGGAGACAGATCCGGTGCTGTGCCGCGTGCCGCCGAGCCACGCTTTGGGGTGGCCCCACGCACCCAACACAGACCCCGCTCTCTTGCAGGGGGTGCATCTGGCGCAGGTCAGCTTCATGGTGCGTGCCTTTGGCTCTGCCTTCATCCTGGACCTGGAGCTCAACCAGTGAGTGTGGGGTGACCCCTGACATGGGGCGTCGCTATGGGGCCGGGTGGGAGCCTTGCTCAACGCGGACGGGGCACAGAGGCGGTGGCATCTCGGTGTCCCTTTGGGTTGGGTTCCCAATGGCCGACGTGAGGCGCACGGCGCTCAGTGGGGTGAGGGTGGCAGGGCGGCCCCACTGTCCTCACCCCACTGCTGTCCCCACAGCCACCTCCTCGCCTCGCACTATGTGGAGCGGCACCTCGGTGTCGGACAGAACAGCAGCAGCACGGTGAGGCTGTGCCATGCCAGGCTGTGCCATGCCGTGCCATGATGTGCCATGCTGTGCCATGCCATGCTGTGCCATGCCAGGCTGTGCCATGCTGTGCCATGATGTGCTGTGTTCTGCCATGTTGTCCCATGTTGCCCCATGCTGTGCCATGTTGTGCCATATTGTGTCGTACCACACCGTGCTTTGTCATCTTGTGCCATGTCATGTTGTGCCATGCTGTGCCATGTTATGCCGTGCCCAACCATGCTCTTCTGTGTTGTGCCACGTTGTGGTGTGTTTTACAAAGTTGTGCCTTGTTGTGTTTTGCCATGTTGTGCCGTGTTGTGCCGTGTTGTGCCGTGTTGTGGCATGTTGTGCTGTGCTATGCTGTATTGTGCCATGTGGTGCCATGTGGTGCCGTGTGGTGCCATGCCACACCATGCAGCAGTGCCCCATGCCCTCAGCCCTGTCCCCTCTCTTAGGGCACAGGCGAGCACTGCTACTACCAGGGCCGGGTTCGGGGGTGGCCCCGCTCCTTCGCAGCGCTCTCCAGCTGCGGGGGGCTGCAGTGAGTACCGACCCCAACCCCGGGTCAGAGCTGTGCTCGCAGAGCAGGGCTGTGGACAGAACCTCTCGGGGCTTCCCTTGCAGCGGGGTCTTCTCAGATGGACGGGATATATTTCTGATTGAGCCCCAAGCAGACACCGAGCACGCGGAGGTGAGTGGGGACCTCCGCCCTGCCTCAGTTTAAGGGGGACGTGGCCCTGGGGACAAGGGGACACGGGGGTCTTGGTGCTCTTTCTGCAATAGGGTCTTCAGCCACATCTCATCCAGCGCACCCCAAGCTGTGCCTTGCCAGGTGAGCACCGTGCTTTGGCACTGCCTGGCACCCCCTGTGTGCCCAGTGCCCCAGTCCCACTGTCCCCATTCCCCGCAGGCTGCATGCTGGGTGCCGTGGGGCAATCTGGCTCAGGCAGCTCGGCCAGGCTGCGGCGGCGGCGGAGGCAGGTGAGTGGTGGGAACATGGGTAGGACATGGGCATGGGGCTGGGGACAGGGGTACAGGGCTGGAGACGTGGGCACAGGGTTGGGGACAAAGGTGTGGACTAGGGGAACAGGGACAAGAACACAGGGCTGGGGACAGGGATACAGTGTTGGGGACAAGAGCATGAGGCTGGGGATAGGGATATCAGGCTGGGGAGAGGGGTACAGGCCTGGGGACAGGGATATAGTGTTGGGGATAAGGTCATGGGGTTGGGTACAGAGGATGTGGGACTGGAGACAGGAGAATGGGGATGGCAACAGCAGCATGGATTTGGAGACATGACACTGGGAACAGGAGCACGCTTTGGGGCTCGCAGCCATGAAACGGGGCCAGAAACTCCCAAACCCCACTCCTTGCCCCATACATCCCCATGGGCTCTGCCCACCTCCTTCCTGGCCCGCAGGTGCGTCGTGCGCAGCACACAGTGCACAGTGAGACCAAGTACATCGAGCTGGCCGTGGTGAACGACCATCAGCTGGTAGGGATGTGGGGCAGAGGGATGGCAATGGGGCGGCCGCCCACCCCCCGCTCCCCAAAGTTCCTACAGCTCCGCAGATCCGTGGTGCTCACCAGCAACTTCGCCAAGTCTGTGGTCAACCTGGCTGACATGGTGAGCGTGGGTCCATCCATGGGGTGGGGACTGCGGGCCCATCTGTAGGGTGCTGAGCGTGGTGCTGCCTGTGGTGCTGCTCCCATGGCGCGTTGTGCCCCATGGCCGCCCCCCACTGTGCACTTTGCGCCGTTGTGCCCCATGGCACACTCAGCCCATCGTCATCCTCATGGCGCCCGGTGCCCCATTGCCATCCCCACTGTGCGTCGTGCCCCCTTGTACCCCATCATGCCCCACTGCCATCCCCCTGGCACGCTGTGCCCCATAGCACCCCATGGTCGTGCTATTGCAGATCTACAAGGAGCAGCTCAACACCCGCATCGTGCTGGTGGCCATGGAGACGTGGGCTGC